TGAATACATTGTATTATATGGCATAGAATGATTGAAGTAGCAAATAGAAATAAAGTTATTATTTTGGGCTGAGCTGTGTTCCTTCCACCATTCTTAACCCCTGGTACCTCAGAAGGTGACTGTATTTGGAGAAGGGTCTTTAAAGTGGTAATTAGCTTAAAATGAAGTCACTAGGGTGGACCCAAATGCAGTGTGACTAGTGTCCTTACCTACAAAGAAGAGGACAGACACAGAGGGAAGAAACCAGGAGATGGTTCTCTAGAAGCTAGGGAGAGAGACCTCAGAAGAAACCAATCCTGCCAAAGACTTGATTTCAGAATTCTGAGAAAATAAATCCCTGTTTTTAAGCCACCCAGTTTTGTTAGCTCTAGCAAACTAATATAGTAGTCAACTGAACTCAATATTTGGAGGCTACCCTGTATTATCTAGGTGATCCCAACGTAACACCAAGAGTCCTTAAATGTAGAAGAGGGAGGCAGAAGATGAGATCAGAGTGATATAATATGGAAGTAGCCACCTCTGTTTACAGCTTTAAAGGTAGAGAAAGAAGATCATGAGCAAAGGATTGTGGGTAGAAAAGGCAAGAAAATGGGTTCTCTCTTAGTGCCTCCAAAAGCCACAGCTCTGCTCTGCTCTCAGAAGCTAGCAGTTCAAGGCATTGCTCACAGAGCATATCTTAGAGCTTTGGGGATTTGTTTTCAGTCACACTTTCCCAAGGTGTCTTATTTTTCCTCCTCTTGATTCACTTCCTCCCTCCTTTTGTGTCCTTTAAGGGCCCAGCCTCCAATGTAGAGACGGAGCTTGAGAACTTTTCATTTACATGGTGTTCCTTTCACTTATTGCACCATGTCTTTCACCAGACTTGTCAGTATCTTTGCAAAATGCAATCCATGTAAAGAATTATAATTACAATTTATAGAAACATGCCTAAAACTTGCTGTAGATGATGTTCTTTGCAAGCATTCTGGCTGGATACCCTTTGTAGCAATCTAATCAGTGACAATGGTGTCTTTTGTTTGCTTGTTTTTAATAGTGGAGCTGAAGAAAATCAGTTTAAGAGTGTGGTCAGAAGGTATCTACAAAGCATGGGTGCTCTGGGAGAGAAGAAAACTCAGAGCTGGACATGCTACTCTTCTGAACTTTTGGGGCTTGGGCTCATGCTCATGCTATGCATCTTGTTATTCCATGAGCTTTCCTCATGATTTGGGTTGGCTGCTTTCCCAGCCAGCAAGGTTGGCAAAATGTGCTATAAAACATATATAGGTTGGGGACCTATATTTGTTTCTAGGGGCTGTCATAATAAGATACTACACACTAGGTGGCTTCCAACAACACAAATTCATTCTTTCACCTTTCTCGTGGATAGAAGTCTCCAACCAAGAAATGGGTAAGACCATGATTGCTCTGGGTTTCTGGTAGAGTCCTTACTTCCTATTATCCTCTGGTGGTGTCTGTTGATCTTTGATGCTCCTTAGCTTGCAGCTGTATTGCTCTAATCTCTACCTTTGTTGTGAACAAAGGTTCACCAGTGTGTCTGTGTCTTCCAAGAGCACCAGTCCTATCAGACTGAGGGTCCACCCTACTCTAGAACAATTTCATCTTATCTAGTTACTTCTTCAATTTCCAGATATGGACCCAATCTGAAGCACTGGGGGTTGGGCTCTTTGGAGGACACAGTTCAACCCATAATAGGGTTACTTTGGTCAAATTCAGGGCCAGCTTTTAAATGGTAGGGACCGAGAGGGGTCAAGTATGAGACAGGCCACTTATATTTACATCAGGAGGGCACTTCGGCCTATCAACATAGAACAATGTGGCAAAAAACAAAGTGGCAGGTGCTCTTCCAGCTTCTACTCTATCTTCTCAAATGATGTTCTGCATAATTTTAATGGTTGTAGGTGAAGTGGAAGCCAAGAAGCACCTTTCACTTTCTCATTTTGAAGCTGCTGATAGATTAATTTCTTAGAAATTTCATATTGTAGAGAATTCTAGAATGAAGAAGAAAGCTTAATTGAGTATGATTCCAAATGTAAATTGAAATACACTTTCACAATCCATATCCATAGTGTGGTAGATTGAATGATAGTTGCCTCAAAAGATGTCCCCATCCTAATCCTAATCTCTAGGGCCTATGAATCTTACTTTAAATGACAGAGATTTTGAAGATGAGATTAAGGATCTGGAGGTAGAGAAATTATCTAGGTGGGCTATAAATGCAAACAAAAGTGTCCTTAAAATATAGAGGCAGAGACTATAGACAGAAAAGAGGCCACATGAGGCAAGTGAAGACGAAAGAGAGAAGATGCTGTGTTTGTTGGCTTTGAAGATGGAGAAAGTGCAGTGAGCCCTTGGAAAAGGCAGGGAAACAGATTCACCCCTAGAGCCTCTGGAGGCAGAACAAGGCCTGATGTTACTTTGGGTTTTTGTTCCTTAAGACTCCTTTCACACTTCTAGCCTCCGAGCAGTAAGGGAATAAATTTCCATTGTTTTTAGCTATCAAGTTTGTAATAATTTACTATGACAGCCACAGGAAACTTCCAGAATTTCAAGAAAAAATATAATGGACTCTTGGTTCTTTTTCTATTAAAAAAAAGTCAGTAGAATATTAATTATCCTTAACTTTTGTTTTGGTGCCAGGGATTGAACCCAGGGCCGTGTGTATGGCCCCCACCACTGAATATATATCCCCAGCACAAAAGGAAATTCTGACATCTACAGCATGGATAAAGCTAGGGGATATTACACTCAGTGAAATAAGCCAGCTATAAAAGACAAATACTACATGATTCCAAGAGTAGTCCAAGTTACTAAGTTTCCACCAAGAGGTGGAAAGTAGAATGGTGGTTGTCACGGGCTGGGAAGAGGGAGGAATGAGAGCAATTGTTTAATGAGTGTAGAGTTTTAGTTTTGTAAGATGCAAAGAGTTCTGATGATGGGCTTCATAGTTATGTAAATGCATTTAACATTTCTGAATGTATACTTAGAGATTGTTAAGGGGATAACTTTTATGCTTATGTAATTTACCAAATTTTTTAAAAAATAAAAGTTTAACTTATAGAAGGAGAACTTTAGTGATATGCTAAAGGTAAATATGCTCCAGTGCCTGCTTCGCAAGTGCAAGGTCCCAAGTTCGATCCCCGGTACCAAAAGAAAAATTTTTTTAAGATAAATATGCAGCATATGATGTGATTTTGCTTATGTGAAGTTGTATTTTCCCTGCACCTTTAATTTAAATCCTTTTATGGCACTGGGCCACCTCTCCACAGGTGCTACAGAGTCCTGCCATACTTTATCAATTCCTATGTTTGCTTCTGTCTTTATATTTTTACTCTTTCCTGGTCTTTCTCCTCAGCTTATGAACATGTTCAAGTCTTTTGAGCTTTGTTGGACCTTGGGAGTAGGTTAAGTAGTGGCTCTTTTTCAAAATGCTCCTTTCTTTTTCTATAACATAATTTGTATGATACACATGTATTTTCCTTACAGTTAGGTACACACATCCTCCAAAATGCTTCTCTTGTATTATCACCGTATTAGTGAAAAGACAACAATACCATCCATGCTTAATATATGATGACTTCCCTTCTCCTTCTCCAGTTCCACATATAATCAGTTGCTATGGCCAACTACTTTTGTTTTATATGCTGTATTTCTTTTGTCTATCCCACTGCTAGCCTGTCCTGTCTGGAGATTCTGGTAGTTTGGTCTTGGTCCGTCCTCCACACCGCAAGTAGGGCGTCTTAGTTTATTTTTTGATGTTGTAACACAATATTTGAGACCAGGTAATTAATAAGGATAAAAAATTAATTTATTAAGGAACTGAATTCATTTATTTACCAGTTTTAACGGCTGATAAGATCAGGGAGTCTGCAAGTTAGTGCCTAGTCTCTCTTTTCCACAATGGATCCCTGAATGGTACGTCTTCCAGACAGGAATTGTATGAACTCAAATGGCAGAAGGGCAGAGAGAGGGAACCCTTTTTACAGGGGCACTATTAATCCACTCATGAAAGTAGAGCCTCAAAGGCCCCACCTCCAACACTGCTGCAGAGGAGACTTAAATTTCCAACCTATGAATTCTGGAGGCACATTCAGACCGTAGCACAGAGAGATCCATCTATATTGGAAACCAAGCCATGCTGCTCTCAGCCTTAAAGCCCTTCAGTTAGGTTGTACATCCTCCAGCCTGGCATCCAAGACCCTTTGTGACATGGCCCATCTGCCATCTGCCAGTCCCACACCTCAGGTTACCTTCCATGACCAAGCACTTAAATTCACTAGAAATTTCTGGGCCCACGTCTCTCCTCATTTTCTCTGGATAGAGCATCCTTGCAGTCTGCTCACTGGACTGACACACAGCTGCTTCCTTGCCTCCAGCTCAGGCATTGCCTCTAAGAAGATGGGGCTTCCCGGTGTGTCCTGGAACAGGTTACTGCCTGCACAGCTTCCGTGGAAGAAGTTAAGATGTAGGTATCTGCTTTCTCACTGGCCCTTAGGCGCTCTAAGGCTGTTACCAACTCGTGATTCTGAGATTTTCAGAATTGAGGACAGTGTCTGGGACACATAGACAGTCACTATGTAGCCCAGGCTGGCCTTGAACTCGCGACCCTCCTACCTCAGCCTCCTGAGTTCTGGGTTTACAGGCATGCACCATCTCACCTGGTCAGATCAGATTTTAAAAGTAGGCTTGCTACCAATACGTGCTATTTTCCCTTTCATCCATCAACACATTTGGATTAAAGGCTTTGTTGGATCTATTGCAGGAGAGTGCAGTTAAGTCCCTTTGAAAGCGAACCAGTAGGACCTGGCTCACCGCGTGCCCTAGTGCTCCACTTCACGGGGGCCCAGCACCGGCCTCCTTCCCAGGGTCACCTGTTCTCATCTTTGCCCCGCAGCGGGACGAGACTCGAGGCCGTGCTCGCCCCTCCCGCGCCGGTCCGGGCACAGAGCAGAGGCCGCGGGCTCACGCACGCCCCCGCCGGCGCAGCCAATGGGCAGGCGGCGCCCGCAGGACCCGCGCCGGCTGGAGGGCGTGGGGAGGCCGCCCCCGCCGAGACGGGAAGTGAGTGCCGGCCCCGCGCGCCAGCACCAGCTGTCCCAGGCCCCACAGCCGCGCGCAGTATGGCGGCCGCCAAGGTAAGCGGGTCGGGGCGCTGCTCCGGCCAGGTGCCCAGCGAGGGCCGCGGCGGGGCTCCGGGATGCCCCCGCCGTCCCGCGCGCTGCGCCTTCGGGCCGCACGTGTGCCGAGCGGGACCGGGCCGCGCGGCCGCCGAAGCTTGGCCAGCGGGACACTCCCCCTCGGCCGGGCCGGGAGCCGGCGCCGGGCCGGGCCAGGCCAGGCGGAGGGCGCGGGGCCAGCGCGTCCCCTGGGCACCTCGGGGCGCCGGCGGCTCCCCTGACTGTGGTGACCTGGCCTCTCCTGCCAGGCCGCACGGCCAGGCTGAAGCCCGATCCGATTACGCTTCCAGGGCTCCGCCTTCCCGCGGCTGGGGAAGTAGCTGTTTTTCTCTTTCTGGGAAACTTGGGTTGCCAGTGTGTGCCAGAGCAGGACCCTTCCCTTGTCCCTTCTCCCATCCTTCCCTTCCTCTGCCCATCTGACAACACTTAACAAACCAAACTTGGAGCCCTTGGAAGGCTTCTTTTTGGGAAATGACAGAACATACTGTCCCGGGAGCCTGTCGCTCCTGAGAAGTTACACTTAAAAGCAACTCTGTGTAATGTGAATCATTCACTAACCCCGGGAAACGAGGACTCCGGCAGCTTGACCTTTCTTCTTTCACCATTGCTTGAAACCTGGACACCATTTCAGCCTCTTTGGACTGCATTTCAACTTTTCTGGCAGGATAACATATTTAGGCCCAATCACTTGAATCAGTGGAATTTATTTCTTTTAATTTTAAGTTCACGAAGGCAACCCTTTAATCAAGACTATACATATATATATATATTTTTTTCTCAGCTCATTTTTAAGTGCAGTGAACTTAAATATACCCACATTTCAAACATTTGTCCTTAATCAAAACTCTGTGATAACCCTCAAGAGGAAAACATGGCCAACACATCATATTCCTATTTATTCAAGCAAACTAATCACATTTGCAATGGAAATTGTAAGCAGACAAATATATTTAAATGCTGTTTTGTGACTTACATCTCTCCAGGGCCCCCAAATCTTCAGGCTTCCTCAGCTTCCTAGACCCGGTGACCTCAGGTGGCCTCTCTCCTCTCTGCCGTAACTCTTGAGTTTCATACTTATGAGTGTGTACTGGGTGTATGTGTGATAGGTATATGAGTGTGAGGGTGTGGATATTACATATGTATATATTTACTTTGGAAGCTGCATTCAGTCTTTCAAGCCCAATAGCCCTCAGTCTTTTCTTTGCATGAAATTTCATGTAGCTAGAGTACAAGGTTTGGTATGAATCAGTTTCCTATAGTAGGTGGGAATAAATGGGAATAAACACTCGTTTTTATTGTCATTTTTATCTCTGGAGATGAATTAAATAATTTTACTTTATTTAGAAATAAGATAATTACAGAGAGGAAATTGAGGACTGTGCTTAGAAATGGAATATAACACTTCACTAATTTGAAGTAAAATAGGTTGAGATGTAAGCAGGTAAATTTTTTTCTTTCTTTCTTTTTTTTCTTTTTTTTTTTTTTTTGAGATGAGGGTCTTCCTAAGTTGATCGGGCTGGTCTTGAGCTTGCCATCCCTGCCTCAGCCTTCTAAGTAGTTGGAATGGCAGGTGTGCACTACTGCATCTTGTCAGCAGGAGCTTTTTGGTTGTATTTTTTATTTTTTTATTTTTCATTTTTCCAGTACTGGGGATTGAACCCAGAGCCTTCACACCCAGCCCTTTTTATTTTTTATTTTGAGATGGTGTCTTGCTAAGTCTCTTTAAGTTACCTAGCTGGGCTGGAACTTCCAATCCTTCTGTCTCAGCCTTTCAGAGTGCTGGGATTATAAACATGTGCCACCATGCCCATCTTGGTGTTATTGTTATTAAAATGCCATATTTTATTATTTGGGAACCTGTACTTTTATTCAGAGTCACCTCTTTCCAGGATTTCTGATGGCTTACATCCTATGTACATATATTTATAATCTGACAAGATATATCAAAGTCAAAATCGAAGTAGATAAGAGAAGCAGGTTAAAGAGAGAGTAAGATGAAGCTAGAACTGAGGTTAGTGGAAAGTAAGTATGTGCCTGCTAGAGCTAATTGCATTTTTAGCAGTCAGAGCAAAGAGGAAATAATCTAAGATCAGTCACTGGGGAGTGCTTTCTCCTTGTTCTCCTATCTGGGGACATTTTCTCCTTTTGTCCTTTTCTATGCTGTGGATGAACTGCATTTGAAACTGTCTCCGAGCCACAAAGGTGTCTCTGTGTGTTGTGCAAGGCCATTTCTTTTAGTGTCTCTCTTTGTAGCTTAAGGGCAGTGTAGTAAATGAGCCTTAAGAGAAGGCTAAGTTGGTTTCAATCCAAGAATTGGGAAGCTGAGGCTGGAGGATCTTGAGTTCTATTGTCAGCGTGAGGTATAGAAACTAACTCTCTCTCTCTCTCTCTCAAAAGTCCCTTACTGAGTTGCTTTTGGGTTAGCAACTCAGCAGCCCTGGACATCCAGTTATTCTGTGCTGTGAGCTGATCACAGAGCCATAGATGAAAAGAAACAAAAAACCTTATCTGCTTCCTCTAAAAAGGTCAGCCTGCATAGGAGAGAAGTCTACCACAATGAAATGTTAAGAAATTGGACAGGGTGCCTGGGGACTCAACGACTGTAGGAAAATTCCAACTTTTACTACATTCTCTGTGGGGAATTCCTTTGAGTAGTTAAGCAGACTTGGTGGTAGCCATAACTAGTCATTTGCTAGTACTGTATCTCTTCTTAGTTTTCTTGGTCTTTGTATTTACCTAAATGTAACTGATAAATATTAAGATTGAGAATCTAATCTTTGGTTTGCTTTTTGTTTTGATTTCTACTACCAAGGTTACTATTTAACAGTGGAAGAGATACAGTACAGTATTTGTTTTTTTCATGAAGTAACACTGATCAGAAAATGAACATTTTTGAGATTAGCTCAGAAAGCTCTCATTCTCTTGTGGGAATAATTCTTATGTTTTTTTCTTAGATCTGCTTGTGCTATTTGTGCTGTTCTGAGATATTTCTAAAACCACCCTGCTTGTATTAAAATGAAAATGAATTTTTTTAAAGCTGCATTTTACTGAGCTCCACAAACAAAATAAAAAAACCATGCATTTTTAACCACTTACCAGTCCAATTATTTAAATATAAGCTGATCAAAAATCACATATTTTATTTGTTAATTTTTATAAGATAACAGGAAATATAAAAATGATGATTTTATGAAATTTATTCAATACAGGAATCAATGGGTTGAAAGGATGCCTGCCTGAGCAGTGCTTGCTTGGGATAGTCAGTACGTACACAAATGCGCTGCCCGAAAGTCTCTTGGGGTAAAGTGTTGAGTGGTTAAAAAGTAATTTCCCTTCTTCCCTGTTTTGGTTTTAGTGTACATTCTCTATCTTTGGATAAGTTTATACATTGACAGTGATAAAATTAAATTGCACGAAACTGTTAAAAGTTAGTGAATACTCACTTGAGTTCAGGAGTGAGAGGTGAGATGTATTCAGGGCTAAAACTGGATATGGATGAGTAATTTAGGTAAGATTGGCCTAGAACTAAAAGAAATTTTTCAACAAATTGAACCATTAATAGCAATGAAAACTTGGCCTGACAGATAACTCTCAGATGAGTTATGACTGTCCTCATTGATTCATTTGGAATTGTCTTGTATTCTTTATAGTACTGCAAACAGGACTAGACTGAGGATACTAAAATGAATTGGGACTTTGCACCTTCAGAAAAAACCAACACCATACCAAGGACTAAGTTCTCTGATGGAAATACCCTACTACCAGTGCTCTGGGAGCCTCAGGAAGGAGTCCATGTCTGGGCCTGGGAGAGAATTCTCAGAAGTGGTGTTATCTGCAAAAGAATGAATGGGGAATTCCAAAAGGAACCCTCCTACCTTTCTGGTGGGAATGTGGACTAACTAGTACAACCAGTATGGAAATCAGAATGGAGATTTCTCAAAAACTAAATTCCGGTTGACCCAACTGTACCCTTTCTAGGCATCTTTTCAGAAGAATTAAAGACATCGTATTACAGTGATACATGCACACCCATGTTTATAGCAGCACAGTTCATAGTAGCTAAATCTTGGAAATAGCTTGTATGTCCATCAACAAACAAATGGATAAAGAAAACCTGGTAGCTATACATAATGGACTACTTAGCTTTAAAGAGGGATCAGTTTGAGTCATTTGTAGTAAAATGGATGCAACTTGAAAACATAATGTTAAGTGAAATAAATCAGACACATAAGCTTCAATGCTGTATGGTTTCTCTCCTATGAAAAATCCAAAGCATAAATGAAGTAGAGAAAAATGAAAAATAGGAGGAGAAGAAGGATAGATATTTTGCAAATGGGAAGGGAAGCAATAGATGGGGGTGGGGGGAGTTTGTTGAAAGAATTGAGATGTGTTGTGCACATGTACCAGCTACCTACAATGAATGTAATCATATGTTGGTGTGGGAGGGAGAAAAAGGGATTAAAAAGAATTAAGATGTGTTAAGTACCTGTATGTCCTTCCTAAGGTGAATATAAATGTTATATACTGCAAACGAATACTAATAAAATAAAAGTTTAAAATTAAAAAAAAAAGAAAGAGTGAATGGGCAAGAGGAAAGATTCAACCCAGTGATCAGAAACAGGATATTCAAGGCAGGGAAACGAGAGCATGTGCCACATTTAGGGAATAGTGATATAGGGCAAAGTATAACTCCCGAACTACTGGGTGGCAGATACACCGAGTTCCTGTTCCCCAAAATCAAAGAATGAATTCTAAGGAACAGTGGAGATTAAGAGTGGGAAAAATTTATTGAGAGAGTTCCTGAGAGACAGGAGGGGTCCAGGAAGTGGGTTGCCATTGATACCATTTCTCTAAGAATGTTTTGTAAAGCAAAATCATGAGGTGGCACAAAATCATGAGGTGAATACAACATGGGTCAAACTATGTTAAACCAGTAAGATTACTGGTACTAGCTGATTACTGGTATTAGCTGATACTGATCCAACAAGGAAGCAAGGTCACGTAGCAAGGGTACATGGAAAGAACAAGGGCATTTTGCGGGGAAGGGTCTAGAGGTTCTGGTCACACACCTGGCTAGCTGATCTTTATCTGGACTTTGCTGGACCAGGTGATACCAATTATAGTGTAATTCCAAGTTACTGCTTATCCCTTAGGGAGGCATTTGGGCCAGTTGGTCTTTGCATCTTTACCTTGAAGCCTGGTCTTTGACATGTGTACCTCCAGCCACAATTCTGATGTCTTTATTTTTCTACAGACTTCTTTGAGAGCCCAGTCCCTTTCTGACTATATGTTAATTTTTATCTAACTTAGCTGCCTATAATAATAACAGATAATTTTAAAAGTAGTTAATGCTTGTGGAATGCTTACTAGATATCAAATTCAGTTCTAGATGGGCTCCGCTTAACTCATTTAATGATGCTAACACTTTTCTAAGTTCTATACTATCATCCCTGCTCTATAGATGAACCCTGAAACACCAAGAGGTGACAATCCGGGCCCAAGATAATTAAGTTCTGGAGGTAGGAAGCAAATTTTGCCATTTAGGCTTCAGAATCTGTACTTCTAGCCCTGCATGGTAGCCTACAGTACTGCTTACAGGAAAGGTGTGAGGATAGCTGAAGAGGGCAGTTAGGTGTCTCCGTGTAAACCAGACTGTATTTAGGATTGTTTAGTGCTTACTGTGAGCCAGGCACCTTCCCAAGTGTTTTTCACGTAATTACTCAGTTTTCGTGATACCAAGAAATACATGCTGAAATACATTTTTGTCCTTATTTTATATGTGAGAAGCTGAATGGAGGTTTAATAATTTCTCAAGGTTTTAGAGCAAGTCAGTGATCCAGCCTGGATTTGAACCCTGCCAGTCTGTCTTCAGAGTTGCTTGCTCTGTCTCTCCACCCAGACCTTAAAAGGAATTCCATTTATAAAGGTACACATATGAAAATTCATAAGCCATTGATTATGGGCCTATATATTTCCAGAGCATACCAGTCCAGTAATTCTTATATAAGAACACCTTTGTCTCTTGGTAGAGGTTTCATGTAATGTTTTTATGTCAGTATATTTTCCCCATTTTTCCATATAAATCCCG